ATTTTCTCTCCACCTGCACGGACACATTGACAAGGCTCTGGGCCCTCTGCCTTCCTGGTTTTCACCAGTACAGTCTCCCAGCAGACAGACAGAGAAGGGTGAGGTCAGAGGATGTCTCCGATTGGACCCCCTTCTGCTGTAGGCTGGATGTATATCCCCAATCCAAGACCACTACTCCTTTTTTTTTTTTTTAGATTTTTTTGTTTATTTATTTGACAAGAGAGAGAGATCACAAGCAGGCAGGCAGAGAGAGAGGGGGAAGCAGGCTCCCTGCCAAGCAGAAAGCCCCATATGGCGCTCAGTCCCAGGACCCTGAGATCATGACCTGAGCTGAAGGCAAAGGCTTAACCCTCTGAGCCACCCAGGCGCCCCAGGACCACTACTCCTGATAGACAGCCCACCCGACTCTCTATTCTTCAGGCCCAGAGGCAGAAAGGGCTGTGTTTCCAGCTCCACATTAGGGCGCTGTCCCTTGACTTCCCCTGTACTCACACGGAGCTAAATAGCTGTTGTACCAATAAAATTAAACAATAAAATTAAAAAATCAATAAAAAATTTAAAAATTCCTCCCAGAAAGATCCTGTATCAACATGCCATCTATTTCCTATATACATGCAATGCTAAATTTCTTTAAAATGAAGATTATTGGGCACCTGGGTGGCTCAGTTGTTTAAGCAATTGCCTTCGGCTCAGGTCATGATCCCAGAGTCCCGGGATTGAGTCCGGCATTGGGCTCCCAGCTCCACAGGGAGTCTGCTTCTCCCTCAGACCTTCTCCTCTCTCATGCTCTCTCTCACTCTCTCTCAAATAAATAAATAAAATCTTTAAAAAATAATAAATAAAATAAAATAAAATGAAGATTGTTCCATTTGCAACAACAGGGATGGAGCTAGAGAGTAAAATGCTAAGGTAAATAAGTCAGAGAAAGACATACCATATGATCTCACTTATATGTGGACTTTAAGAAACAAGACAAATGAACAAAGAAGAAAAGAGACAAAAACCAACAAACTCTTAACTATAGAGAGCGAACTGCTGGTTACTGGAAGAGAGGTGGGGGGGATGGGTGGAGTAGGTGAAGGGGACCAAGAGTGCACTCATTGTGATGAGCATTGAGTATAGAATTGTTGACTCATCACACTGTATACCTGAAACTAATATAACACTGTATGTTAACTACACTGGAATTAAATTTTTAAAAAATAAATTAAATGAAATGATTGTTTCCCAGGAAAGTATACATTAGCAAACTTGATTCAAGAAAAAAAACAAGGAGCACCTGGCTGGCTCAGTCAGTGGAGCATGCAACTGTTGAATCTTGGGGTTGTGAGTTCAAACCCCGTTGAGTGCAGAGATTACTTAAAAATCAAGTCTTTAAAGAAGAAGAAGAAGAAGAATAAGAAGAAGAAGAAGAAGGAGGAGGAGGAGGAGGAGGAGGAGGAGGAGGAGGAGAAGAAGAAGAAGAAGAAGAGGAAGAAGAAGAAGAAGAAATAATCAAAACAAAGTATACCAATAACTATGGAAGATAAAGTGATAATAATTTGATATTACCTGCAGCTTAAGGCTAGGCTTAGGCAATGTTAAATACAAGATCTGTTATGCCTTCCTAATTCCAATAAGTATGTACTTTTAAAAATCTTCCAGGGACGCCTGGGTGGCTCAGTGGGTTAAAGCCTCTGCCTTCGGCTCAGGTCATGATCCCAGGGTTCTAGGATCGAGCCCCACATTGGGCTTTCTGCTCAACGGGGAGCCTGTTTCCCCCTCTCTCTCTGCCTGCCTCTCTGCCTACTTGTGATCTTTGTCTGTCAAATTAAAAAAAAATTTTTCTTAAAAAAAAATAAAAATAAAATAAAATCTTCCAGGAGTTAAAAAGATAGAAATTTTCTAAATTGACTAAGTTGGCATAAACTCACATCAAAATCTGACAAAAGAAGCTAAAAAAGCTGAAATGACAAACCATATTTAGTTCTTAAATACAGAAATCTTAGCAAATTAAATCTGCCATTTTATGCAAAATAGCCAAACAGAGTCTGTTCCATGAAGACAAAAATGGGTCAGTATTGGAAAATCTTGTATCAACTTGGTTAGAAAAAGGCAAAAAACACATCCTTAAATGTGTAGTAATTTAGAAATAGAGAGCTACTTCCTTCACTGAGAACAGATTATCTATCTGATACTAATATCCAAGGTTATTATAGTGAAACTTTAGAGATACTTTGTTAAAATTTGGAATAAGATAATGATGCCTCAGTATTGTTATTTAATATTGAACTTCAGGGGCGCCTAGGTGGCTCATTTGGTTAAGCATCCAACTCTTGGTTTTGGCTCAGATCATGATCTCAGGGTTGTGAGATGGAACCCCTGGTCAGGCTCCAAGCTCAGTGGGGAATCTGTTTAAAGATTCTCTCCCACTGCCCCTCTCCCTGCCCACACACGTGTTTAACCTCTCTCTCTCTCTCTCTCTCTCTCTCATAAATAAATAAATCTTTAACATTGAACTTTAAAACTCTGGTCAATGTAATAAGACAAGAAAAATAAATGTGAAATATTTATACTGAGAGGAGAAAATACTGTTTTTTGCAAAAATGAATGACTAAGATATAACCTTAATAAAGTACATATACAAATCAATGCGGAAAATGAACATACTATAGAAAAACTGAGCAAAAGACATAACTTAGCAATTTTTAAAGGAAGAGAAATGGTCAACGAAAATGTAAATATTCCATACTTTTTCTATCAAATTTAAATAATTAATGAGATGACTTGGGTAGTGGAGAAAGAGACACTCTCATACTCATTTCTTCAAAAAGTGTGATAATTTACACACTTACAATTAGACAGTATGTGCTAAAACCTCTAAAATGTACATACTCCTTGATCCTACATTTCTACTTCTAGGAATTCAGTGTCAGAAGGGGCCAGACTTATCTTGTTATCTAAATAAGAATGGTTGGAGGCAGAAAGAGAAAGAATGATATTCAAGAGTGTTCATTGTTTATAACATCTATTTACAATAATCACCTCATTGAATATATTACAATATATTCATAAAATATATGGCCCCTGAAATGATGTTGAAGTGCTTATTTATAATTTCTGAATTGTTCACAATTGATGTTGAGTAGACAAAAATCAAGTTTCAAAATAATAGGCACAGTATTACTCCACTTTAACTGTATATATTAATTTTTTGTCTAAATGCATAAAACATTAGTATATACAAAATGCTAATAGTGCTTATCTCTAAACAAAAAGATATTAATTTCCTGTTTGTTTTAATATATTTATTTTTTTTAAAGATTTTATTTATTTATTTGACAGAGATCACAAGCAGAGAGGCAGGCAGAGAGAGAGGAGGAAGCAGGCTCCCTGCTGAGCAGAGAGCCCGACGCGGGACTCAATCCCAGGACCCTGACTCAATCCCAGGACCCTGAGATCATGACCTGAGCCGAAGGCAGCGGCTTAACCCACTGAGCCACCCAGGCGCCCCTGGTTTAATATATTTAAAAGGGGTTTCATATGTGAAGGAAGCTCGGCAAGTTGTGAGTGGAGCAACCATACTGAGTGATTCAGGTCTGTCTTCTACTGGACCTTGTTCACCGAGCCCCAGTGAGCTCAGCTGCGGGCCCTGCCTGTTAATTGTCTGCTGTAGACATTTTGGTGCCTGATTGTAAGAAAATTGCTTAACTTCAGTTTTCTCAGTGAAGAAATACTAATTTTACAACACTTGGTAAATCATAAACCTCAAAAACAGAGGAGTATGAAGTTGCCCTACACCTCCCCAAAATCAAATCTGAATTTGATCCATCTTCCCAATCCAACTACGCATTTACAGAAAGCAGATGAAGAGCGTCATGTTCCCAAACCCTACACGAATACCAGGAACAATAGTCAAACACCGAGAAACTCCGCTAGACAGATAACCCAGTTTCTTCAACAAATAAATAACATGACACAAAAACGGGAGATCTGATAATATATCATATCAACCAATCTCAATCCTGTTGGGTTCTTTATTTATTCTTTATTTATTTGGGTTCTTATTCAAACAATTTTTTTTTCATACAATGGCATTTAAGAGAAATTTGTGAATTTAAACACTGGCCACATATTTGAAGATGCTAAGAAACTTGTTAATTTCTCAAGTCTTATAATGATGTTGTATTTCTCCGACAGTGTCCTATAGGAGTCACACTGAAATTTTTACAGATGAAAATACAGGATCCATTGCAATGGTTTTAAAATAATACTGGGGGAGATGATGGGCATGTGGATGGGGTGGGACGAGGCATGGGTTGATGGTGGGTACATGGAGGTCATCATACCACTGGGTCTACTTTTGTGCTCACTGACATTCACCATCACAAGAAATGTATTTTTTAAAAAAGCAAACTGTTCTCATCTTCATGATGAAACTGATGAACCTGAATTGTAAAAATTGCTAATAAGAAAAAAGGAATCCTTTGCCAGTGGGGACGCAAAATAAAATAGAAAGGCCAAGTCAGGAGGAAATTCAACAACAAAGCCATTCTTCTCCCTCATTGTCCTGACATATAAGAAAGTTGAGATAAGAAATTATGAACACCATCCTTGGACCAAACTCCTCCCACTGCCCCCAGCAGAACCTCCCTCCTTTGCTCTGAGCAACAATGTAGAGGTCAGGATAGCCCACGGAGCCATGGGCATGCTGCTCCTGGGCACGAGGATGAGCAAGCCATTCCCAAGCCCAGACTTGGGACATGTAGCTCTCCTAGTGCTAAGACAGCACCCCCGCGGCCCTCCCCCCACCAGAACACTGCCTTGGGCTTGTTGGGAACCCTGCTGTCCTCTTACCATGAGGGCTCTTGCTCCCCATGTGGCTAAGGCATAATGAGGTCCCATGGCCAGGAAGTGACAGAAGGGAGACCCCAAACACACCTCCCTATCAGCTGGCCCTGTCCCCTACCCGGATCCAAAACCCAGTCAACGTGAACTTGGTCTCCCACCACTTCCAACAGGTGCTGAAGACCTGTGCACCGGCCCCCAGGGTTATTGAGACTCTTTTCAACGCCTACCCTCAGCTCCGTGTGTCAGAGTCCTGGAGGGAAGTGATTCCTGAGGAAGTATTTCAGGTAAGGCAGCGGCCCTTCCTTCCCCCTCAGTACAAGAGCCCCGAGCTTCAGCTCCCTCCCCACACCGTATGCACGTGGGCACTTACCCAGTGAAGCGTAAGGCATCTGAAGAAGGATGGAGAAAGGGAGAGTGTGGAAGCGTAGCTGAGCATTGCTGGTTTTCTTTGGGAGGAATCATGCAGCCAAGACCTGTTATTATATTTGGGGTGCTGTTGGCTGCAAGGAGCAGAAACCCAACACACCCAACTGGACTTGAGTAACCACCCCCCCGCAAGAGGGGTATGCACAGCCACCTGAATCCATAGGCTCTACTCTGTGTGTCCTCCTTCTTCCTGTGAGAGCTTAGATATGGCCTAGGCAGTGGCAGGAACCACATTTGTACCCAACAGAGTCCACAGTCACTGTCGTTGAAGAAAGAGTGAGGGCGTTTTTGTTTTTTTTTTCCCCAGAAGCCTCTAGAAGATATCCCCTCATGTCTCATTGACTTGAGTCCATCCACATGGCTCAACAGCCAATGCCCTGTGCAGGGGGCAGGGGTGGGGGGAGGAGAGCAGGATGTGAGGAGATTATCTGTGTTACCCATTCTACCACCCAAAACAGACATCCTCGGACCCCCTGAGGAACCGCACCTCCAAAAAGTGCATACACCCTCTTGGTGGAGGGCATGGCAACCATGGGGTCTTCTGGCTGTTGGGTCCATGCACTCAGGTTTATGTTCCATCTGCCTTCCTTCCAGATGCACCAGGCCTTCTACCAGTCTCTCTTGGCCTTGGCCCACACCCCACGCTGTCTGCAGCATCTTTGCCGCTGTGCCATTCGGAAATTATTTGGCAAAAAGTGCTTTCACCTCGTGTCCCTGTTACCCTTGCCAAAGTCCCTGCAAAATTACCTCCTTCTGGAACCAGAGGGTCTTTTGCACTGAAAACCAGAGTGTTGGGACTGAGGCTGTAGTTCGCACCGCTGCCCTCAGTGGAGGCTGCATGTTGAGGAGAGCACCGCGGGGAAGGGGGCAGACCCAGATGGCATGCCCCCCTCCCTCCCCCGTGGATGCACCAGCCTCCCTGAGCTTCATGCTCACTTGGAAATGGAATGGGTCCTAAAAGGCCTTTCTGCCTCTCAGGGTCACTTGTGAGGATCAAGACTGCAAATATCATAGTATTTGTATCAGAAAGAACTTCTCAACAGAAGTTGAACTAAAAAGTATACACACATCCCCTGCAGAGGGTTAACAGACTGTCTGCCTCACAGGGGCGTCCCACCCCTCCTGGAGCCTGGCCACCTAGATAGGCTCTGTCCCCAACACATGACAGGTATATCTATTGAGAGAGGACACCTGTTTCCGCAGGTGCCCTTCTGGAGCCCACCGGTGCTTCCCGGCACCTTACAGCCCAGAACTCCCTAAAGAACATCGGAGGGGTGGCGAGCCCAACATTGTGATCCCATGTGAGTCTTCTGACACCCTCGCCAAACCCCAGTGGCCAGCAGCCCAGGAAACCAGATGCCAGGGACAGACGGGTTGCTAGAGGTTGCCATCAGCCCGGCCTGAGCATCACATAGCAAGAGAGATGCTCTAAGGGTCAAGGACTATATGAACCATCTCTTTCATTTTCTGTATTCGGATGCTTTGATATCCGGGGCCTGGCTGACCTTGGAGGGACTGCTTCTCCCAGAGTCAGCCAGTTCCACAGACAGCATACGACTTACCCCAAGCATGCTTTCCAAATGCAAACCGACCAGTCCAGAGCTCACATACACACCCCCAACCACCTCTTCTACTGGGCTGTCACACTCTGGGCTACCTTCCACCCTTCCTAACTGTCCCAGGGCCAGGTGCCAGAGAGATGGGGACAGCCCTTATTTATATCCCAGAGCCTGCTGAAACTATTCATACCCACTGGTCTTAAGCCTGTCTATCCTGCCTGGCCTGTTCCATCCATGAAAACCACGACAAAGGCTTCTGTCTGCATCCCCTCCCCCAACTGCCTGAGCAAGCCTAGTGTGTGCCCATGTGACCCCCCCCCACCATGGTATGATGTGCCCCTTCTCTTGGGAATGATGAGTAATAAACTATCTTTTCAATGGCAATTGTCTCTTGATCTCTTGGCCTTACTAGATCTCAAGTTTTCTATTAATATGCCATATTTTTTTAGAGAGAGCATGAGTAGGGGAGGGGAAGAGGGAGAGAGAGAATCTTAACCAGGCCCCACCTTCAGTGCAGAGCCCAGCACAAGGCTTAATCACATGACCCTGAGACTATGACCTAAGCTGAAACCAAGAGTCCGATGCTTAACTGCCTGAGCCACCCAGGCGCTCCACCCACATCCCTAAGACAGACAACTCACCGAACCCAGAAAAGGCCTGTGTGTGCCTGACTTCAGGACTCCTCACACAGCACCCCCTACCCAGGCAGGTGGCAGCGTGCAGGAAGGTATGGGGCATGAAGGAGGACCAGAGATCCGTCCTCCTCCTGGAGGTGAAGGTCCCCACGCTTCGACAACTAGGAGAAGAAAGAGCTGGACAGCATGGAGGCAGACCGGGAGGACCTTGGCTTCCAGACCAGGGATTCTGAACTAGAGAAGCCACGAGGATCCACGGAGCAGGTGAGCAGATGTGGTCACAGCGGGACTCTGGGGAGATGGCTTTGCCCTGGAAAGGCAGGCGGGACACTGTGGGACGGGTGGGAGACCACAGTGACCACCCCAGAATTGGGGCTGTCCCACCAGAGCAAGAATAGTTAGTTAACCAAAACCAGATGTGATTTGCTCAGCTGGAAGGTGTATCTGCAGAAGGCAGGGCTTCTCCAGCTCTGAAAGGATGTTGTCGAATTGCAGATCCTAACTATGGAGGTCTGGACAGTGGGGGGAGAGGGGGATTAGGGGGAGGTGGTGTGGAGTGTGGATCACCAGCGTGGGTGACACCCCTGCTCATGGTGGCTGTCCCCACTGAGTGCAGAGAGCACAAAGCCCCAGGTCCAGAGCTGGCTCAAAGTAGAAATTCAATAAATGGTTCCTTCTGTTATTATGATTGCATTATTTTTAGCAGAAAATGGCCCGAGAAAGGGATAAAAAAGGAAAAGGCGAAGTCATGTTATTTATAAGAAAAAGCAGGAAGGACAAGAGTACAGGGTAAGAAACACAACCACTGCACCGCTCCACCCCCCAAGCCCTGTCCTCATCAGATTTGCAAATGAGAAGCTGAGCAAACATGCTGTCCTTGCAGGACAGGATCTCCAGCTGCCTCTCCATATTGCCCACCATAGAAAACAATCCGGTCGTATTTCTGAAATGCACTAACATTTACAGAGATTTTAGAGTCCTGAAACAAAGCAGAACCCCTTCAAACATACTGACCTTACATTTCTAAACTGATAAATGATGATCAGTTATTAGGTTTCCCCCAAATTATAGCTTAAAATGACAATAGGATTTACAGAAGGAACCCCGATGGCTTCCCATAGCTGCCTCGAGGAAATTCTTCCTTCTTCACTGTTTTCTCCTCCAAGAACTTCTTTGAACATGTAGATGTTCCCAAAAGAGCTAATCCCTAAAGTTCCTGGGGTTTAATTTTTGAGGGGTGGAGGGCAGCTGGATGGCTCAGTCATTTAAGTGTCTGCCTGGGATCGAGCCCCCGCATGGGTCTCCCTGCTCAGCGGGGAGCCTGCTTCTCCCTGTCCCTCTGCCTGCTGCTCCCCCTGCTCATGCTCTCTCTCTCTCTCTCTCTCTCAATAAATAAATACAATTTTTAAAGGAAAAAAAAGTCCTTGGGTCTAATCACTCACTGATTGAGTCCTTTGCTCATTGCTTTAACCCATCCTGACTGAGCCTGCCCACCTTGGGGCTGAGGGCCCATCCTCAACAAGACAGGCTCAAAGGTTCCTCCTCCTCCTTGGACAGCTCAGAGCCAAGCAAAGAAGACCCACTCGTCAGCCAGGCTGCTGGACAGAACTGGCACGTGGTGGGGTTGGCTGTGGAGAGGAAGGGTCCCCTTCTCGGCCACCCTCCCTCTGGCTTCGGCTCTGCAGCAAATGAGAGATGCTGATTTATTCCCAGGGCAGGTGGGCATTCAGGCATCTCCCCATCCCTCCCTCTCCCCACTGTGCCCTACACACCATCATGGAACTTCCATGAGAAGCACCCTCACCCCACTCCACCAGCCAGTTCCATACTCGGTCAACCCACGCCCATGCACAACAGGAGTCTAGCGATGCTCTCCCGAGTTCTCCAGCTCATCAGGAACCTGACATCACAAGAAAAAGCAGAAAATAAACTGGCCGTAGAAATTCATTCAAGTCCCCTGGGTTCCAGCAGCCGTCCACAAGTGCTAAATACCGCTCCCGAATGATGGTCATGGCTGTATGGGACAAAGACGCCTTGCGTGATTGGGGCTACCTTAATCATCAGATGGCATGAAGTCACTCACAGTTTTGCAGAATGCAATTACTGCTAGCGATTTGCTTTGTTTGGCCAAAAATAAAATACCTGTCAAAAATGTGTTGTTTGCAAACACCTGGGTGGCTCAGTTGGTTAAGTGTCTGTCTTTGGCTCCGGTCATGATCCCCGGGGACTGAGTCCCACATCCGATCCCTGCTCATCGTTCAGGAGGGACTCTACTCCCAACAATGGGGCTCAAACGCATGACCCCAAGATCAGGAGTCGCAGGCTTGCCTGACTGAGCCAGCCAGATGCCCCAAGACATTCTACTTTAAAGCTAGAATTATCCTGGCTGACTTCGCTTCCAGTGAACAAAATGTACCCTGGTATTTTTTTTTTATTAAAGGATCTAAAAATGTTTTCCATTCTTGAGCGGTTCCTATGGACATCATTACTTTTCTCTTTGAGTATATTACATAAACTCAATTCTATAAGACCTAAATTGTTTTTTTTAACTTCATATTTAGCTTTTAATGATGGATTCACATGGTTCAAAAATCAGCTGGTAACAAAAGACTAAATGCTGTTTCCACTAAAAAAAGATAACAGAGGAATAGTTTCCTTCCGCTTTTATTGAGTGTCTTTGGCGGTACTACTTGTCATCCAACCCCTGAGAATTCAAAAATACACAAGTGAGGTTCTCCAGCAGCGGTGGTCCTGAGCAGGTCCACCTCCTTGCATCCCTGGCCGTGTCCTGCCCAGGGCAGACCATCCACAGCACAGCAGGACCATTAGACACCATCCACAGTCCATGGGCGGTCAGTACGTGGACACAGCACCCTGGGACGTGTTATGCCTAAAATTCTGAACACGATATTTGGCTGGTCTTTGACTGTCTTTGTGTCTGCTTAATTTTAAGTTACATGATAATCATCAATGCAGCATGTTTTCAAGAAAATCAACACCACTGACTCCTTAGGAAGAAGCATTTGCTAATCCCAGTAACTATATATAATTGCCACATTTCCAATCTCTGAAATAACCCTTTAGACACACATTGATGGAGCAGGCTGTTGAACTTTTGCAAAGGACACTTAACCCTCTACAAAAATGATGTAAAATATAGGCTTGGAGAATGAGCTGGTCTGCTCCAGTGACCCGTCCTGATGCGGGCCAGCTGAGGGGAAGCTTAATCACTGTAATCGCAGATATTATTAGCGTGCCAAGTGCTTTTCATCTCTTAAGGGCTACCCAAGGACCAAGTGATAAACCAGGAATATTGCACCTTTTATCCCATTATTTCAAGAATGAATCATTCCTTACTCAAATTTTTGATGTGCCCTTGGGGATAGTCAGAAACCCCAAATTATCAACTGTGATCAATACCGCATCTTACTTGTGGATTTAAGTCTACTTTTCAGACGCCAGGATTTTGTCTTCAAACTGTCAACATCGTTCTATTTTAAAACAAAAACTAATTTCACTGAATTGCTAAAACAAGCCTGGGGTTACATTGCTAGAGCCCTGCAGAGGGTTGCAAGGATTGAAACGCATTTTCATAGAATCCTGCAGGTGGCGCCATAAGCAAACGGTCTTACCCACGTCCACCAACCCGCTCTCCCCGGAATTA